GCATCTCTCCATGAACCACTGGGAGGCAGGTCTCAGATTAATGAGTATCTGGCTCTTTTTATGGAAGGAACTTTGAACCCTGTCCTGTGATGATCTGATCTGCTAGTATGCCCTTATCAGGCTGTGACTGACTGACTGACCTAAATGACCTCTTCCCCTCTGTCTCATGCCAATCTGAGACAGGGACTGATCAATGCTCCAGGGGGCCACTGGCAGGCCTAAGGCAGAGACCTGGCTTTCGGGATAGCAGTGTGACCTTGGGCAAGTCACCATCATCCCTGAGCCTTAGGCGTTCCCATCAGCAAAATTGATTAGCTATAGTCAGGCTTTGGAGCAGCAAGGGAACATAGAGGCTGTTTAATCCAACACCCTTCTTTTCAGATGAGGACACTGAGGCCTAGTGAGGTCAAGTGATTTCCCCAAGGTCATGTTCTCTAAGGGCCTTTCCACCTCTGATCTTCTGTCCTGTGAGAAGGAAAGAGAGAGGAAGAAGGACAAGAGGAGAAGAAGGCACCTGCCTCACAGTGTTGTTATGAGAAAAGTGCCCTATAAATCCCCAAGCACCAGAGAAATGGAAGTTATCCTTAGAAGAAAGAAAGAAAGAAAGAAAGAAAGAAAGAAAGAAAGAAAGAAAGATAGAAAGGATGTCTTCTGGACTAATTCTTTAAAGAGTTTTATTGAGGCCTTTAGTTTTTTTACAACACAGTTATTTCCTGATGTATTTCCCCTCAGCCCTATTGAACTCTCCCTTGTAACTAAGGAAAGGACCTAATGCTTAAGCTGGGTCTTGAAGGGAGTGAGGGGTTCTGGGAGGCTGAATGAGATGAGAACATTCCAAGGCAGGGGGAGATCTGTGCTAGGTGGAAGATGGAGCCTCCATAGACCAGCTGAGCTGTGATACAGACTGTGAAAGGGGTGCTGGGAATCACTGTGGCAAGATACACAATCTATTTTTTATCTTTGTATCAATACAGAACCATTGAAATTTCTTGAGCACCGAAGCAATATTGGTTTGGCAGCTCTGTGGATCATGGATTGGAGATGCAACACTAGAGGGATGGAGATGGGTAGGTAGGTGGTGCAGGGGTCAGGAAGATATGAGTTCAAATCTGGCCTCAGACACTTCCTAGCTGTGTGACCCTGAGCAAGTCACTTAATCCCTTTTGCCTCAGTTTCCTCATCTATAAAATAAGCTAGAGAAGGAAATGGCAAACCCCTCCCATATCTCTGCCAAGAAAACCCCAAGTGGAGTCACAGACACAACTGAAATGACTCAGCAACATGTGTAGACGTTATGCTAAGTGCTGTGCTGATGGGAGGACATATTATTATTATTTTTTTTTTGGTGAGGCAATCGGGGTTAAGTGACTTGCCCAAGGTCACACAGCTAGTACGTGTCAAGTGTTTGGTCTGAGGCGGGATTTGAACTCAGGTCCTCTTGACTTCAGGGCTGGTGCTCTATCCACTACACCACCTAGCTGCCCCTTGGGAGGACATATTGACGAGACGTGGCAACCAGCTTGATATAGGAGGGGAGGAAGACTGAAAAGTGGAGAATGACTCCAAAGTTCTGAACTAACTGGAAAGATGGTGGTGCCCTCCATACAATTAGGAGACTTGGGCGGAGTGGTGAGCTTAAGGAAAGAAATAACGGGTCCCTTTTGGGGCAAGCTGAATTTTAGGTGCCAACAGGACATCCAGGTAGAGATTTCCAGAAGGCATTTGATAAATGTGGGACTGGAGGTCGGGAGAGAGCAGAAGACTGGCTCTGTGGTTTTGAGATCCATCAGCATAGAGATAATAATTAAACTGATGGAAGCTCATGAGATTCTCAAAAGAGAGAATGTAGAAGAAGAGGCCCCAGGACAGAGATCTGGGACATACCCATGCTAGGGGTGGGATATGGATGATTATGCTAGAAAGGAGATGGAGAAGGAACCACACCATCAGTTTTAGAAGGGAGGATGGCAATCATTGAGTCCAGCCCATGGACTAACGGAATCCCCCCCATAAAATTACTAACAAGGGGCCATCCAGCCTCCACCCAAAGACTTCCAAGGAAGAAGCCAGCTCAACATCATTCACTTTTTCCTTACGTCCAGATCTTCTTTGTCACACGAAGAACCACAGAATGGCAGAGCTGATGGGGCTTTGGAAACAAACCACTTTCCAAAGGAGCCAACATAGACTTAGGGAAAGGCAATGACTTCCCTAAGGCCACGGGGCCAGGCAGTGGCAGGGCTGGGTCCGGACCTTTCACTCCTTTCTGACCCAGGACCTTCCCCTTTCTCTTCCTCCCTTCCTAGGGAAGGGGGTCTAGTCTCCGCAGCATGCCCAGGTTTTTTGTTTCATTAAGGTTCTGCGATTGTGACTTGAATGACCAGGACCACGTTGCTGGAAGGGAAGCAGTTGATGAAGGGCGTTGGGCTGCCATTTGGGGCAAGATAAAAGAGCTATTTGCCTGTTCCCCATGCGGTTTGCAAAGACCCGTAGCGGCTTTTTGCAGCGACTGGAACCGTGATTGGCCATTGCATCGATCGGTGCGGTACATCTTTCAGAATTGTCTTTACGATGTTATCATAAGTTGTTCTGTTTCTGCTCACTTCACTTTCTTTCAGTTCATCCAAGTCTCCCTAGGTTTCTCTGAAACCATGCCTTTCATCATTTCTTAGGGTGTAATAGTTTCCAGGTTTTTTCTGTAACAAAAAGAGCTGCTACAAATATTTTTATACATATGAATAATCCTTTTCCTCCTTCTTTGATCACTTTGGCAACTTCCTCGTTTTCTGGTAAAGAAACTGAGGCCTGAGAGTTCAAGTGACTTGTTCAGTTATCCCGCCCCCTTTTCCAGGAGAAATATGACACGTATATGTGAATGCTTTTGCACCTCCTTAGCACTGGAATTAAGAGTTGGGGCTCTGTCACTTACTAGCTACAGGACCTTGGACAGGCCCCCCCACCCCCTGGGCCTCAGTTGCCTCTTCTGTCACATGGGAGGGGCGGGGTGGAGTTTGGACTGCATGACCCCTAAGATCCCTTCTGGCCCTGGAGGCTGTGGCTTCCCCAAATCCTGCCCCTGGTTGCCTCCAAATCCAAATCCTGTTCAGGGAACAGCCCTGATTCTGCATCTGCCATTGGTGCCTATTCCAAACCCCCATATTCTTTGTTTGGGTTCTTCTTTTCCCACTTAATCCTTTTCCTACCAAAATGGGTCGTGTTTATGTCTTCTCTCCCTGTATGGACTTTGAATTCCTCAAGCACAGGGTTCAGCTCATCTCCTACCTCTGGGTTTCTCCCACAGTGTTTAAGCGCTTAATAAATATTTGTCCAATCCATTTTGTGCAATGAATCTCCTGCCCAGAGGGAATAGGCAGCTGCGTTGTCTGTAAAATGTAACTGGAGACAGTAGAAGACCCGGTCTGGAGTGCTGGCAGGGAGAAGAACTAGCCATGTGAACCAAGACAACCTCTCTGGTCCTCGTTTGTCATGTCAGTGAAAGGAGAGGGGTTGGACTTGAGGCCCTTCCCAGGGCTGACCTCCTCTAGCTCTCATTGTTATGGAAAAGTTTTCTAAAAACCCAAATATGTTTTGCATGACTTCATATGTATAAAAGCTGTGCTGTGGCTTGCTTTCTCAATGATTGGGGGCGGGCTGGAAGGAGGGAGAGAATTTGGAATTCAAAAGTTTTAAAAATGAATGTTGGGGCAGCTAGATGGCGCAGTGGATAGAGCACCGGCCCTGAAATCAAGAGGACCTGAGTTCAAATCTGGCCTCAGACCAAACACTTGACACTTACTAGCTGTGTGACCCTGGGCAAGTCACTTAACCCCAACTGCCTTAAAAAAAAAATAAAAATGAATGTTAAAAAAAAAATCAAGTCTATATTGGCTTCTTTGCAGTTCCACTCATGGCTTCTGGTTTTGTTCTTGGCGGCCAAACAAAAAGAAGCCTGTTTCTTCTTCCCCGTGGTAGGTCTTCAAATACTTGGAAGACAACTACCTTCAAGTGTTCTCTAGGCCGAGGTCACTTGTTTCTTTAGCCCCTCCTCTTATGCTATGGAACCAAGGCCTTCACCAACATGGCTGCCCTCTCCTGGAATATTAACTCTAGGGAATATGGCCCTAAAGATTCTGCCTCCAAACCCAAGCCCAGAGGAGACACTAATTTTCTACCTTTTATTGGAGAAAGCCGTAAGACAAGAAGGACCTGTGGAAAGAATCAGTTCATCTTCTGAGGTGCTAGGCTCTGCAGACTTCACTTCTCTTAAACCCCCTTCTCCATCCCAGTACCAATGGGATGGAGACATAATGGATAGAGTGGATTCGGTTAAGGCAACCGACCATAACATTTCATCTAGGATTTGCCATCATTTGTGCCAGGTAGACTTCACCTCCCCCCATGCCTGTTATGGGGAATTTGTATGATGGGGCCATGAGGGTTTCTAAGGATCAGCAGCCAGGCTTATAAGCTCAGCTCAGGAGCAAGTGCCTTCCATTAGAAATATGCCCAGACCCCTCCTGCTCGATGGTGGCAGCTGACGTGGTAGGGGCCCTGGCATCACAGTGCTGCTGGAGTCAACGGGGGGGAAAGACCAGGTGTGGTGGTACCTGCCTGTCATCCCTTGCTCCTGGGAGATCTGAAACTGGGGAATCTCTTGAGCTGCAGTGGAGCTAAAGCTGATTGGGCATCTTCACCAAGTCCCACACGAGGGTGGGGAGCCCTGCTGGGGGAGGAGGTAGGCAACCCTTTAAATTACGCCGGACCGCCCAGGGAGGAGTGAACTGATCCAGGGCAGAAATGGAGCAGGCCAAAGCTTCTGGACCCATCCGTGGTGGGGTCAGCAGGATAGGGAGGCCCAGGATCCAAAAAAACAAAGAACAAAGACTGAGGGGGAGAGGTGGAGAGGTTGGAGGAAGACTGGGGCCAGGACACGGTGCTTGCAGCTTCTATGCAGGTACAGAAAGTCCTAGTTACCCCAATTTCCCACTCTTCCTGCTTCCTCCTTTATTCAGATCAGGCTTCCTCAGTGACAAACACAAGGAGGGAGGACGGAGAGCCAGTAGTGAGGGAAAGCCTCTTGTCTGTGGTTCGTCAGGGGTTTGCCTCTTCTTTCTTGTCATCACGAATTATGTCTTCATACGTGGGAGGAGGAGCAGTTGGGTCACTTGTGTGCACCGGAGGTAATGAGCCAATTGAATCCTCCGTTACCTGAGCAAGAGAATAGACAAGGTCAGCGCAGGGATGACATCTACCACCTCCATTCTTGGGTGGTGATACCATGGAAAGGAAGGAAGCAGAGGACTCAGGATCATTGACCTAGAGCTAATAGGACTGGAGAGGTGAGCTGGTCCAAGCCCTTCCTTCTACAGAACAGGAAACAGTGGGCGAATTGCTCAAGGTCACACAGAGTGAGCATCAGAAGGAGGGTTTTGAATTCAGGTCCTCTGACCTCAAGTCTGCCGCTCTTTCTGCTGTACTGTATCTCCCACCTTCCCATTTCCCAGAAGAGGAAACTGAGGCCCAAGATCACACAGGTAGTAAGTGGCAGCTGGAATTTGAACTCAGGTCCTCTGCCCAGAGATCTGCCACTGTGATGCCTCCCTCAAGAGGACTGGGTTCTCATCCAGATTCTGCCACAGATTAGTAGCATGACCTTGGGCAAGCGACTTCTCTTCTCTGGGCCTCTGTCTTCTCCTTTGTAAAATGATGGGCACTAGAAGGCCCTCAAGCAGTCGATGTTAGAAATCGGCGACATCGAGCGGGCTCTGAGGGTCCTTCGAGTTCCGAAGGGGCCGTTGAGGCCGCCGTTCTCCATCAGTGCCTCCGTTAGACTCTGTTCTTTCCTCTTCCTCCTAATCGTCTCCTGCCAAGTCTTCCATCACTAAAGTGAACGCTACGCTCATGCGCCCTAACCCAGGGCAGCTGCCTGGAAGGCTATGGGAGTAATCGGCGATTTGGGGGTCATAGTTGGAAGAGAGTCCAGGAGATAGCCTGGTACCGTGGGAAGATGTCCCAGTCTTCTCTGGAAAAGTTATGAGATCGTAAATCTGGGAATGGAAGGGTCCTCAGAGGTCACTGAATCCACTCCTCTCCTTTTACAGATGAGGAAACTGAGGCATACAGGGTAAGTGACTCGCCTAGCTACGTAAGTCAAAGGGGTGACGTATCTCAAACTGCTTGGCAAACCTTAGAGCGCTATATCAATACTAGTTATTATTATTATCGATGCTAGCTATTACTGTTGGTGTAGTTGTTGTCTAAAGTGAGATTTGAATCGAAGTCTTCCTGACTCTCATTCCTGTCCCTGATCTTCTGGGCCCCTGTGATATTCCATAGAGCCTTCGACCATGCTGGCTTTTTGGCCGCTGTCTCCCGCAGTGGACTCATCCTGAATTTTCCGAGCCCCACCCGTGATTGCCCCCTGCCACCCACAGTGGAACTCACCTCTGATGACAGCTCAGTCTTGCACAATAAAGTCATGGTACAGATGAAGGCAAAGACCTCAAGGCTAGAGAAGATCAGCAATCCCAACTCAAGCCTCTGCAGGTGCACCTGCAACAAAAAACAGCGCCCTTGCTGTCCCAACTTAGGACGTGCAAAGTGCTTTCCTCATCATAACCCTGGGAGCAACGTCGCATCGTCGTGGATGTCGGCACCATCCCCTTTCATGGATGAGAAAACTGAGGCCCGGAGAAGGACGTGACCTGCCCAGGGTCACACAGCTAGCGAGTCTTAGAGCAGGGACTCCCACTCATGCCTTCTGATACCAGGGAGGCAGAGTCAAAGGGGTGGGGCTGCAGGATGCCCATGGCACAGCTGGCTACCAACATCGGGCTGGGCTCAGTCGGGGAAGAGGGAGGATGCGGCTCACTGTTTGTTTTTCAAACCTGGAGAGGGTGTAGATGGAGAGAAGCAGGAACTCTCCCTGCCTACCTTGGTTAAATTTAATGTTTCTGCAGAAAATTAAGACGATTTCAGAGCCCCGGTAAGGGGACTTAGAGCAAAACATCTTTTCCTGCTGGTTCATCATCGTCAAGGGTTCAGAGTTTTATGGAAGACTTGTCTCTTGATCTTGTAGTTGTGTTTGTTCACAGTGAAAAGTTAATGATTAAAAAGAAATGGAATGAGTTTAATGCATTCCGTGTGCACTCCAGGAGGGGCTCCCTCGAAGCCCCTCGTGAACACGGCTCTCCCAGCCAAAAACGTCCTGCTGCTGGCCCCCAAAGGGTAATGAGGTGTGTGGCCAGGGGACTGACCCGAACTTTTGCGGGTGACGAGGAAGAGGGAACAACAGTAGCCTGGAAACCTGGGAATTTGCTCGTTAGACGTTGGACTTTACTCTTCTCTGCTGAATCCCCTGGCTTACCTAACAACTGGGGAATAGGATAAAGAACGGGGAAAAACAAGACAGTCGACTGGAGTTTCTAGCGTTTTAGTCAGGGCGTGGACACACCCAGAGGTGGAAAGGACCTCAGAGGTCATTGAGTACAACCACCTCATTTTATAGGTGGGGAAACTGAGGCACAGGAAGGTTCAGAGGTCATCTAGTCCAAGGTTAAGTGACCTGCCCAAAGGCGCGCACTTAGCAAATTGGCATAGTGGTCTAGTGAGATGAGTCAGAGGGCCTGGGTTCAGATTCCCACCCCAGATACCTAGTGAATGAGGAGGAGTAGGTGATATCTAAAGTCATTTGTTGCTCTGACGTTCTGTGATGCCAGGTATGATAATGTTGGCTTTGGGTGTCCAGGCTCCCCTCCCCAAGAGAAAGCCCAGAACAATGCAGATCCCGGGTCCCCAGATCTGAGCCCAAGGTCATTCTCTTCCTCTAAGCTCAGCTGGCTTCCTGTTTCTGGAGGAAGTACACTCACTGTGGAGGTGGGATAAGGCCTCCAGATTGGGGATTCAAAGGAATGCTCCCAAAACAAATCCTTAATGAAGATGAAGATCCCACACAGCGCGCAGAAGCAGTCCATGATGCTCACGGTCACGGTCAAAGTCTTCTGCAAGGGAAAGAAAAGACGGCCGATGTTAGGAAGTCCAAGAGTCCGAGCCTTGGCTTCTGCTCCCGATCCTGACTGGGTCTTTATTCCCCTGGGTATAGATGGACGATATTGGACACATGATCACTGAGGCCTCTCCCGGCTCCGCCATCCCACGTTCTAGGTTCTGCAGTCTTCCCCGCTCTGACACCCTTAGATTCACCGTCCTAAGTCACCAAACTCTCCTCCCTTTCCGGGGTGGTGTGCCTGGTAGATCGTGTGAAGTGGATAGAGGAGGGGAGGAGGGGAGCATCAGCGAGTCTGAGCGTTCCTACATCTCTGTTCTAACTGGTTTCCAGCTCCATGCTCCAAGCCCACCTCATCGATGGGCCAAATGAGTTTGAGCCACATTGGAATGTGTTTAGCAAACCAGCTCCCTTTCACATGTAAACAACATAACCCAGGGCTGGCTTTACCAAGAGACCGATAGATGAGTGGAAATGACCTACCCTACCCCCAAAAGATTTCACTCCTCAACCTTCCTTTGGGTTAAGAACTTCCTTTGTGCCCTGCTGCAGGGGTCATTTATTTAAAGATTTTATTTAAAGGCCCCAAGCTTCATTTAGGCATTGCCACTTTAGTGGGGCTGAGTCCTTTACTTTTCTGGGGTAAGAACACAAGAAGAGGAGGCTAGGTACTGATGTGTGGACAGTGCACCAACCGCGTTCTTCATGGTGTTGCCCAGGACAGTTACTTCTTGCAGGGCAGGGTGCATATGGTACTTTTCTGGTAGAATGGCGCATCAGGCCTCCTTCCACCATCCTATGCCCGTTTTAGGTAACTGGATACAGATGCTCTCCTGGGAGAGGAGAAGGCTAAACCAAAGCAAACCAAACATTGTCTGGGCCAGACAAAGTATGGGAGGCCCTCCTGTACGCTCTGGTCACTTGGGGCTCATCTGCTTTTGGAAATCACTCAAGGCTTGGAAAGGAACTCACCAGCTTCATCTTCCTTCCTCTCTCCATGGTTATCAGCAAGGCTCCTGAACAGAGGAACTGTGGACAAGATTGGAAAGAAGGAGGGAAATCATAAAGGTCCCAGAGGTGAACTTGTCACTGCCCCTTCCTCCCAAAGGGTCACAGAGCCCAGAGCCATGTTAACTCTGAGACTGCATTACCCTTGGCCATATGGCCTTGGGGTGTGCAGGGACACACAACCCAAGTTCTATGTACCCCTAGACCTGGGAGAGGCAGTGTGCCTCACTGGAAAGCACCCTGGATTTGGACCAGAACTTGTCTGCCATGTACTAGCTGTGTGACCCTGGGGCGGGTTCTTAACATCTCTGGCCTTACTTTCCTCCTCTATAAAGCAAACAGGTTAGCCTAGGTTAGACTGGAATCTAGTTGCTAATGATCACTGGGACTCCTTTTAGTATAATTGGAAAGAAGTCAGCATTTGCTCAGAATTCACCAAATCCCTCCCCAGAGAAGACTCCATGGTTTATCTTACACTTTCTCCCATTGGTATTAACTCTCTTCTTTGGGTATTATGGGCAAGATATCTGGTTGGCAAGGTTGGCGTGCAGATTTAACAATCATTAATGGTATTAATAATAATTTAATGAAACTTTTAGCAACGTGAAGGTCTGTGGTGTAATGACTAGAGGGCTGGCCTACCTGTGTGACCCTGGGCGAGTCACTTTCTCAGTATCCTGCCCTCTTTAAGGTTTTAAGTTATAGATAAGTTGCAGACCTGCTCAGTGAAGGGAATTTTTGCACTGGGAACTGGGTCCAAATTGATGAAATCCAAGGCCTGCCTGCTCCTCTTCATGTAGGTTTCCCAGTCTCAGAAGTGGGGAGATACCCAACCCAACAGGATATAATTACAACCTGTCCCTCCCAACTTTCACTCTACAGATGAGAAAACAGATCCAGCTGGCCCTTCCCTCGCGGATACTCACAAAGAATGCTCCCCAAAATGGGTACCAAGACTTCATCGCAACCAGGTGGAGATTTTTCACAGCAGTTGCCAGGTAGATCCCTATGGTGATATGGAGCAAGGCATTGACGATCTGAAAGACCTGGGGGCAAAAAATGGGATGTCAGTGCAGGGAGGGAAGGTCCATCTGCAAGGGGGCGAGGGACACAGTGCAGCTCACGTTCTGAGCCAGGCGCCTGAGTTAGAACAGTGCGCAATCGCGTCTGGTAGCAAGCACTGGGTCGGGGCCGCTGAGGTCCCAGGGACTGGCTCTGGACCCTCACTCCCCCTCCTCTCCCTGCTGGCTTATTGAAACAAGTCACATTGACTAGGAATACATATAGCAGATTGGCTCTCCTGCCAAGCTTCCGTGCCACACACCCCCTAAATTCACAGGATACAAGCAGCTTCACGGAGCCCAGGGTAAAGAACTCGGGCTCTGGAAACCCGGGAACTTGCTTTACAGCCTGTAGCCTGGGAGAGGGGTCTGGTGCAACGAGAGGTTAAGTAATTAGCCCAGGGTCACCCAGCCCGCGTGTGTCTGAGGTAGGACTTGAATCTAGATCTTCCTGACTCTGAGGCTGCCTCTCTATCCCCTCCCCGGCGCTGCCTCTCTGCGCATTACCGATGAGTAATGTAATTATTACCTCTCGATGATTAGATGGCCCAGAGGTCGTATAGTCAGTCTGTTACTAACTCCGGGGTGGGAGGTAGGCTCACCTGAAGCTTTTCTGTTTCAGCCCCTACCAGGCTTGCCAGTCTTTTAATCACCAGACCGATTGGGGATGGGGTGGGGAGTGAGGTTGGACGAGACCTCAGCACCCACCTCTTCCAGTTCCTACCTGAGAAGGAGCCCTGGTGATAACGTCCTGACAACGTGTTAAAGGAAGATTGGAAGAGCCAGCCGCCTCTAGAGGCAGCCCGGCCCATGGCTAGACAACTCTCGTTGTTAGGGGATTTTTCTTCACCTCCACCCCACCTGCGGCTCTTGCATGGTTCTGTCCTTTGGGGCCAAGCAGCTCAGAAGGTTCTTTCTGGAGGATGGCTCTCCTTTCCCCCTAAGCTGGGTTCCTTAGCTGGCTTTTTGGTAGGGATCCCTTTGTCAGGGTCCCTTTCACTCTGGGGAAACCTCCTGACCCCTTCTAGGAATAGTATTTTTAAATGCATAAAATCAAAGACACGGGATGGTAAAGAAAACCAATTACAGCCAAGTGCAGTGATTAATTTTTTTCTTAAAGCCAAGTTTGTGGAGCACAGGTGAAGGGCCCCTAAGCTTTCTGATTTCTAGGCCAACTACTTCCTGCCTGTCACTTCCTAAGTGGCTTTCCTCCTCACGCCCCTAGAAAATGGTACGGTTCCCTCTGGAATCGTCACCAGGAGAAAACAAAACTTACTCCCAGCTCTGTGAGAGGCCCTGCCTTCCTCTGAATTCCTCGGCATCTGTCTTCCTGAAGGGAGAATCCAGAAGGTGGAGTCTCCCCCATCCGGTTCTGACCCGGAGCTTCCTGTGTTGGACCTAACATGCCAGCAGGTACCACCAGGCCCCCGACTTCACCAGTAGCTATGTACACGTTCTCTCCGGCAGTTGCCATTGGTCTGGTGCCAAGGATGGTGCCCTGCTCCAGGGAAGAAATCGAGTTAGTGTTAGTTATCTTTCTAAGGTCCAGGACCACGTGTAGGATGTGGGGGAAACACTTTACAGAGCTGCTATCCCGGTTTTGTTGTCCTTTTATGTCAAGGGCTGTAGGTGGAACCTCCAACTCTTAAAGCAGTTTGTGCCCCTGCCAGGTGTGTGTGTGTGTGTGTGTGTGTGTGTGTGTGTGTGTGTGTATGCACCTGTGTGTGCCAGGTCAACTGCAACTCGACTCACTCTACTCCTGACCCTGCTCAGTTGCTAGGGGAATATCTGGCAGAAAAGATCTTGGACAGCAATTTCAGCAGAAATAATGCCTCACAGAGATCATAGTCTCTAGGGGGCTTCTAGAAGTGTGTGTCTTTTGGATGGGAAAAGCTGCCTCTCATTCTAGGGGCAAAGTGGGGAAAGTGGGAACTCCACTCAGAGAAAGCAAAGGCCCTCGCTGCCAAAACAAGTCTCACTCAAGTTTGTTGAGCTGTGGCCAGCAAGGCCCCCAGTGACCCCCCAATGACTGTCAATTTGCAGCAACTTTGTCAATAATCTTCCACCCACCATGGGCAAGAACTGGTGTCAGCTGAATATGGAGTTAGGCAGACTGCTTTAATTAGTTGGATCTTCTGTGGGAGGGGGACAGGACAACAGCTGGTAAGGCCTTATACTTTCTGGATGGGCTAGTTTGGGGTGCTGCATTTTGAAGCTTCTGACCACCCCACAACAGACAATGTCTTTGTAGCAAGACATAGGAGAGACAGCCCCAAGTCCCCAGCTCCGTTCTATGCCTGGTTTTTCAGTTGTGTCTGACTCTTTGTGACCCCATTTAGGGTTTTCTTGGCAACGATACTGGTTTGTCTTTTCCTTCTCCAGCTCATTTTACAGATGAGGAAACCGAGGCAAACAGAGTAAAGTGACCTGCGAAGGGTCACACAGCAACTAAGTGTCTGAGGCTGGATTTGAACTCATGAAGATGAGTCTTCCCAATTCCAAGCCCAGCACTCTGTCCGCTGTGACGCCACCTAGCTGTCTGGCGCAGCTGCTTCCTTATGCCGCTTGGCGAATGTCTTTTGAGAAGCATCATGAGACATGTAGGTCTTGTACTGAGGAAGCCTTGGGCTCAAAATCCAACTCTGATACCTTATTCTATAGACATGGAAATAATAACTAACCTCTCTGACTTGCAGTTTCCTTATCTGTAAAATGGAGATAATGTTACCAGGGAGATGCTATTTATTTCACAGGGAGATGTAATGAGGTTCAAGGATTAATCTTGTAAAGTGTTTTGAAACATTATTTTAGAAACATCATTTTTATTTCAAGTGTGGGGATAAGAATCATAGAATTTGAATGGGAACAGACCATGGACATCTAGTCCAGCCCCTTCATTGAACAGATGAGGAAACTGAGGCCAGTAGAGGTGAAATGATTGGCCCAAGGTCGCAGGTAAGTGAACGACTGAGCCAGGATTTGAACCCAGGTCTCTTGTGGCTCAGATCTCTTCATTGTACCACGAAGCAGATTGGTTTGCCTGTGGGCACAGGCCTTTTAGGAGATAGTAGGAGGGCTCATCAAGGCTGGGAAAATGAGTGTGCAAGATGAGGATGGACAGAGGGACTTTTATTTGAAAGGCGTCTGCTCTCAGGGGGAAGGAAGGAGGATTGGTCAGGGAGGGATGGGATTGGGATCCAGGGCTCCGGGTCTCAGCATCTCCCTTGGGCAGGAGTAGCTCACTCCACTGGGGAATCATGGAAGGAACATTGGGCTGGGACCCGAGGTTAGGTTTGAGTCTACTCTTGTTGGCCATATGACCTGGGGCATGTCACCTCTTCTCCGGAGTCTTAGTTTGTTTATCTGTAAAGGACCCTGCCAGCCCAGGGCTGTTGGGAGGACCAAAGCCCTTTGCAAATGTTATGTTACCTGTCATTATCCATTGATTCTGGTTTAGGAATACCCCTTTGGCTAATATTCAAGCCACTCCAGCATCTTTGCCAAGAAAACCCCAATGGGGCCACAAAGAGCCAGACATGACTGAACCACAAAGATGTCTCTCACATCTGTCCTCTTCTCTCTATTAACATAGCAACCAGCCTAGGACAGACCTTGTTACCTCTCATATGGACTACTGCAGTAGTCTTATTTTTTTAACAGACTGGTTCTCCCTTTCACCAGGCTAGAGGTGGAGAGGCTACCCGCAGGCCTGGTCCCACTCTGATCTGCAGATGAGCTTGACTTGAAGGGTTCACCCCTTCTTAGCAACCTGGCTGCACCCCACCTGACATTAATAGCAAATGTAGTGCAGACACCAATTGGCTCAGTCCACTTTAGCTCGGAAGTACAACCCAGAGTTCGAGAGATCCAGCCTCGGTCTCCCCAGTAGAAGGATTAGAGGCATGGCCCCTCACACCTGGTGCCTTCTGATTGGTTTCCATGCCTCAGATCCCTCCCCTCTAATCCATCCTTACCACAGCTGCCAAAGTGATTTTCCTAAAGTATGGTTCTCCCATGTTCAGTAAAGTCCAATGAATCCCTATTGATGCGAGGAATAAATGTCATTTCATCTTTATCTCATCCTTTAAAAATGAGAATTTTTGCAAAATTTTTACAATGTGCGTACTTATTTGTACAGTAGAACATCCATATAATTTTAAATAGATGCATATACACTTGGGGGTGCGGTTCATGCTTCAAGATTTTTTGCTGATAGAGATGCATGATCAAAAAAGTTTGGAGGCCCCTACAATGGAAAAATCACTTCAATGGGCTCGATGAATGACCTTGGACCAGTCACTCCCTCTCTTCTGGTCTGTACAATGAAGGGCTTTGCCTAAACTAGGTAAGCTTCCTTCCAGCTCTGCCCTTCTGTGGTCTGAGGTCTCAGAGGGCTCTAACACCCTGTGTTCTGTGACCTGGGGCCCTCCCAGCTCTGCTGGTCTATGAAGCTTTCCCTTGGAGATTTTGAAAGGGCTACTCACTCTGCTTCCGGCTGGATCTGCTCTCAGCTGGCTTTCTGCTCCCTCCTCTTGCTTGCTGGAAACAAAACAGCAAGTTCTTTATGTCAGACTTTAGATCCTCATCCACTCTGACTTCTGATTCTTGTTCCTGACACTCCCTTCCCCTGTAATTGCAGGTGCTGTACCAAAGTCCCCTTTTGCATAAATTACGGCTGGAGATGATACAGCAGCCTCACTTCTGCCTGTCTGCTTACTCTGGCGGTGTTCCTATCTCCAGAGCAGGGTGGATGGGGAGGGTGCCTTGACTGTAGGTTCCTTGAAGGTTGGAGGGTAGGTTGAGGTATGATTGAGGAGATGAACTATGGGATACTAGGACCTTATAGACTGATGATGTCCTATTTCTTTTTATTTTCTTTTTTCATTTTTAATTTCTTCAATTTCTTTTTCTTCTCCTAATGCTATAGCTAGCATTTCTAATACACTGTTGAATAAAAATGGTGATAGCGGGCATGCTCGCTTTACCCCTGATCTTATTGGGAAGGCTTCTGGCTTATCCCCATTATAGATAATGCTTGCTGATTCTTTTTAATTTAAAAAAAAAATTAAAAAATAAAATACATTTAAAAAATTTTATTTTAAATTTATTTTCTGTTAGAATGTAGGTCCCTTCCCAGCTCTTAGCAAAATCCATAATGGTTGCTGAAACAGTAGTCCGCTTCTTTTCGTACTGTACGGTTTCCAAAGCATGTGTGGTGGTTAATGCAGGTATATACTCCAATACTCATCTCACAGATGAGAAAGCTGAGGTTCAGAGTCACATAACTATTCAGTATTAGAATTAGGACTTGTACTCGGGTCTTTCTGACCTCCTTCCTGACTAGTGCCTAGGACAACAAATGCTTGTTGATTAGTTGAGTGTGGAATATCTATGCCCTGGCCCCATTTCTGTCATATATACTGCCTCTGCTACCCTCTCCTGTCCCTCATCATGTCAGAGCCTAGATGCAGATGTGAAGCCTGAAGGTTAGCTAGTCTAACCCTCCCATTTTACAGATGAGGAACCTGAGGTCAAATGGGTAGGAAGTAGCCCAACCAGGATTTGAACCTGGCTCTCTAATATTAACGCCAACTCTTCTTCCATTCATGCCAACATGACTGAAGACTGTCAAGGTTCATGTGACCAGGGGCCTTTTCACCCCCTCTGATGAAAGCAGCAATGAGGAGATGGCCAGAGGCCTGCGTGCTGTCACCAGGTCATTTAGGGATCTCCCTATGTCCCTCTGTCCATCCAGAAGAAAATGTCTTTGTCAGAGATGGTGACCAAGGAGGGGATTTCGTGAGTCCCCAGCGGGGACCTGTGCACCCAGCAGGGCTAGCTGGCTACATTTGAAATTCCTATCTGTGAGCTGGCAACAGAAACCCTCAAACAGCTGTTGAAGCGACTGCAGCCAAGAAAGTATTTATCTCCTGGCAGTTGATTTATTTTGTTGTACTATAATCTCCTGGGGCAGAGACCGTGACTTTTGTTTCCATGTAAAGGAGACCATTGCATGTTGGAAGGGATAGACCCCTCAGAGACCAGCCAGTTCAGGCCCCTCTGGGTTTTCTGGATGGGGAAATTGATGTTCTGAGAAAAGACGTGCTTCCTGGTGGCTGGGGCTGGCCACAGCAGCGTGATGGGCTCTGCTATTGTCGTAAATGTAATCGGTGACTTAATGTCTTGAAATCCTGTTAGTCTTCAAATTGGAGTGACTTTCAAGACCCTTTACATTTTTTCTTTTGTTTTCTTCTCTAGCTGTTATAATTTTTTAAAAAAGTTTTTTTTCCCTCCCTTCTGATGGGACATTTGAAAGACATTCCTTTTTTACATACATCTTGTCTTTAAAAAAAGACGTAGACTAATAATAAGAAGAATAGCTAACACACAGCACCTACTATGTGCCAGGCCTACTATGTGCTAACCACTTTATAAAGATCATCTCATTTGATCCTCAAAACATCCCTGGGAGGT